TCTTTCTGTCTTTTTTTTTTTTTTTTTTTTTTTTTTTTTTTTTTTTTTTTTTTTTTTTTTTTGGTACCAGGGATTGAACTCGGGGCCTTGCTCTTGCAAGGCAGGCCACCAAACCGCTGAGCTAAATTCCCAGCCCTGAATCTGTTTCTTCATCTTTAAAACAGGGATGAAAGTTGGGCATGGTGGCACACATCTGTAATCCCAGTACCCAGCAGGCTGAGGTAGGAGGATCACTGCAAGTTTGAGGCCAACCTGGGCTACATAGTGAGTTTAAGGCCAGCCTGAAGTGCACAGTGAGACCCCGTCTCAAAAAAACAAAACAAGCCAGGGGTTTAGCTCAGTGGTTCTGCCACCTGTCTTGCAAGTGCAAGGACCCAAGTTCAATCCCTGGTACCAAACCAAACCAAACAAAAACAGGGATAATAATACCCACATGGGGAGGGGTTTAGAATTAAATGAGACAAGTAAGTGGTCATGACAGCTCCTCCTCCTGTGCACAGCATTTCAGAGCTGTCAGGGGCCTCAAAACATGGAATCCCTCTTCCCCTCTGGTACTGGGAATTAAACCCAGGGCATTCACACTGACCTACATCCCCAGCCCTTTTTCTATTTTGAGACAAGTTCTCCCTAACTGGGCTAGAACTTGTGATCTTCCTGCCTCAGCCTCCCAGAGGACAGAGATTACAGGTGCACTGCCACTGTGCCTGGCCCATGGGGCATCTCTTAAGTGCACATGAAGGGAGGGAGGACCAGAGAAGGTTGGGACTCACCCAGGGCCACACAGCCAAGTGTGGGAGCTCTCAGTTCAAACCAGAGTTACAATCCTGAGATGGAGTTTCCTGGTGTTTGTCATGTGGGTGCCCCTGCAGCCTTACCCAGCGGCAGGTAGGGGATGAGGTGGGAGAGGCCTTGGGCCCCAAGAACAGCACAGTGGCCAATGGCCATGGGCCGGGTCCTCTTCCTGGCCCCTGTGCCCCTGGCCACCCTGGAGCCAGGGCCCTTCCTCCCCACCCACGTTCCCTGTCCCCAACAATGACCCAGGTGTCTGAAAGGATCTGCTCCTGACAATAAGCAACATCCTCTTGCCAAATAATTATGATTCCAGCCGGGCGATGCTTCCCTGCTGACAGGAGAGTGGGCAGGCGTGGGCCTTCTTTTCCCCGGGCTGTGCCCTGGAGCATCTCCCAAGGACCGGCAGAACCGGTGGCTGGGCCCTCAGACACAAGTGCAGAGGTGTTTATATGGCCAGGAAGAGACTGTGAGGACCCCTAGCCCGCTCCTCTCCAGACCCTCTTGCTGGAGACTGAACCCATGCGCCTGCCCACCCCCAGGGCAGCTTCTCTTTTTCTAAAAGGGGAAGAGGTCCTTCAGGGCCCTTTGGGGTGGTGAGCAGCATGTGTACGCCTATGTATGGGGTGCGGGGATTGAGAAATGCCCCTTCCTGTTGTCCCCACATCATGCTTCTCTGTGTCCCCCTGTGGGTCAGGGCTAAGGATCTCTTCCTTGCAGCCATGGTGTAGGCCTGGGGTCATGGGCACTAGTGCTTGAGCCCAGAGAGCTCTCCACCTGGGGCTCTGCCCCCCACCCTCCCATTTGTCTGAACCCTCAGCCACCAACCATCCATGCTTCTGCCTCCTTAGTGGCTCTGCCCTCACCAGTTTGGCTCGGTGCTCTACTGCTTTTTTGTTTTGGTTTTCTAAGACAGGATCACACTATGTAACCCGGGCTGGACTTGAACTCACAACAACCCTCCTGCCTCAGCCTCTCCAGTGCTGGGATCACAGGCACGCTCCACTTCTTGCTTTTGCCTCCACTCCCCACTGCCTGTCCCCTTCATCCAGCCCAGGCCTGCAGCCCCAGCCTCTGCTAAGGCTGCCCTCCTGACAGCCCCTGGTGTTTGGGTGCACGGGGCATGGGCTGTTGGAGCTGGACTTGGCAAAGACCCTGGATGCAGAGGTGGTGGGAGCCATCATGTAGGTTCCAGGAGATGCTCCAGACTTCCCTCTGGGTGGACAGTGGTTCAGGCTCCACTTCCTGTGTGTGGCACAGCATGCCTGGGTCCGTGACAGGGAGGGACATCCAGCTGGCACGGGCAAAGCCGGGCACTGCCAGGTGGTCTGGAGCACCGAGCCTGCTTTGGGGTGAGAACAGGGTGAGCGGAGGCTCCTACTCTGCCGAGCTTCTACAGGGACCCTGGGGGTCATCTCTGCACTGAGCCTGAGGGTGAACTGGTTGCCCTTTAGATGAGGGGTTTGGGCCCTGGTTTCCTCATCAGTGAAGTAGGACTGAACACGGAGCCTGGCTGGTGCGCTTGTCAGAAATGCATGACAATGCAGTGGAAATGAGGGCACCCTCAGCCCTGTGCACAGCGCGTTGTTTTCCTACAGTCCCAACAAAATCCTGCTTGTCTGCAGACCCTGTACTCAGGCTCTGAGTTCAGATCCTCTGTATCTTCAGCCACACCACCTTCCCCTCCCCAGCCTGTGCTGCTGCACAAAGAGGCCTGGTACTCTTGCCAAGAAGTTCTGAAATCTGCTCACCTTGGCAGTATCTTTCCAAACACCTGGGGCTCCCAAACACAGCTCCCTCTCCTGTGTGCAGAGTGAGGAGAGGCTCTGCTCCCTCAAAACCCACTCCTGCAGACACTCTGGGACTGTGGCTTCGCCTCTCCTGATAAGCTCTCCAAGGTTAGAACACACGCTGCTGTCAGGCACTCACACTTTAGTGAGAAAGGTTTCAATTTGGCTTTTCCATTCCTTTCCCCCACCCCATTCTTAGGAAATGTTTCTTGAGTTGCTGATGGAATCAGAGACCTCTATAGTTTTCAGGTATCAAATACCAGCCACTAGCAAGACCCTTTCTGAACATTTTGTGTAAATGATTACTAATCTTTGCTTCGGTTCTACCAGGTAGATGTTTCCATTTCTGGGTCTCAAGGAGGGTTCTGAGCTCAGAGTCTTAAGTGACTCAGAGCAGCCTGGTCCAACTATAGAAGCTCTAGGCTGCCTTGCTCTGATGGGGCTTTCTGCTCTCCTGGCAAGTCCCAGCCTGCTGCTGAGGGGCCTGGGCTCTGAGGGCAGGGCAGGGGCATCTGGAGGAGAAGGTGGCATCATCTAGACTCTAGGGCAGTGATGGTGAACCTTCTAGAGACCGAGTGCCCACACTGCAACCCAAAGCCCACTTATTTATCGCAAAGTGCCAGCATTGCAGTTAACCTGAACACTGAGGCTTTAGTTCAGAAAAAACAACTCATACATCAATACATTTTGTCTTCAAATGGAAACAAATAACACACGTGCCACAGGTTCAGGTCTCTACGATGATCTGGCTGGGACAGTGAAGAGGACAGAGCCATTGGATGCTGTGCATGCTTGCAACCTTCCTTCCCTCTCTGCAGGACCTACAACACACATCACCAAAGAAGCAGGGGCTCCACCCCAGTGTTCTCTTTTCTGAGGCTTTGGGAGGCTCAGCACAGTGAAATGCTGGAAGAATGGTGTAAAGAGGACCAGGAGGAGCAGTCGTGGTGGCGCAGGCCTGTAATCCCAGCATTTGGGAGGCTGAGGCAGGAAGATTGCCACGAGTTTGAGGCTGGCCTACATAGACCCTGTCTCAAAACAAAACAAACAAAAGAGAGGTCCTGGAGATTGCCTCACTTGCTTATTGAGAAACAAAACAAAACAAAAATCCTGAAAAACTAGGATGTGACTCCAAGGTTAGCAGAGAGCCAGGGCCTGGGTTTCTGACCCTGTCCCTCAGGTGTCTTGGGTCCCCTGCAGCCCAAGCTTCCCTGCCACCTTGCCTGGAGACTCTCCACTTGCTGAACTCCATCTGCCCATCAAGTCAAAAGCTTTCCTCCTTCTAGCAGTGCCCTGACTGTCCCCAGAAAGCCACTGCCCTCCTCCTCCAAGTGCCCTGAAGTCTGGCACTGGTTTTCCTTTGTCCACAGGGTTACAAATGCAGCCCATCAGCTCCCAGGGCACCAGTCTTTCATGTGCACGTGCTCTGCCAGTACCCAGGGCCCGCTGCTGGGGAGTGGCTAAGGCCAAGTTTCCTGGCACTGCGAGGGTGCCAGGCAGGTGACAGACTCTCCTTTCTCCAAGCAGGCCTGGTAGCAGCCTTCAAGGTGGCCACGCCATATTCCCTGTACGTGTGTCCCGAGGGGCAGAACGTCACCCTCACCTGCAGGCTCTTGGGCCCTGTGTCCAAAGGGCATGACGTGACCTTCTATAAAACGTGGTACCGCAGCACTCGGAGTGAGGTGCAGGTGTGCTCTGAGCGCCGGCCCATCCGCAACCTCACGTTCCATGACCTGCACCTGTACCACGGAGGCCACCAGGTCGCCAACACTAGCCAGGACCTGGCCCGCAGCCACGGGCTGGAGTCGGCCTCTGATCACCATGGCAACTTCTCCATCACCATACACAACCTGACCGCGTGGGACGTCGGCCTGTACTGCTGCCTGGTGGTGGAGGTGCGGCATCACCACTCGGAGCACAGGGTCCACGGGGCCATTGAGCTGCAGGTGCAGAGAGGTGAGGCGCCCGTGGGACCCCCGATTGCGCGACTGTGTGAGGCGCTGTGCTGGACAGCGTGTGACGCTGGTGTGGCTATGTGAGGGCATGACATGTGGTTTGCTGGTGTGACGGAGAGGAAGGGTGTGTGTGGCCCCAGTTATGACCATGGGACTCGTTCACTGAGTGGTGCACGGACGTGGGCTGGAAGGGTGGCTCCTAATGACACCCCAGAAGGCAGTGGAGGGTGTGGGCCTGAGCCGGGATGGCTGACTTCCCCGTGGGATGCGTGTGTCCCACTGAGGACATGGGCCTGGAGGGCTGCACAGAGCTGTGGGAGCCACAGGTCTCCACTCACTCCAGGGATGAGAGCATGCCAGGCTGTGTGTGTGTTCACGTGTCTCTGTACACATGGCGGGGCAGGCACCAGCATGTGAACTTCTACTGGCCTGGATAAGGCCCCTGCGGGGCCCGACACCCTGTAATAGCCCTTCTCTCTGCTCCTGCAGGCAAAGACCCACCGTCCAAATGCATCATGTATCCATCCTCCCCCGAGGAGAGTGAAAGTAAGTCCCATGCTCTTGTCTCTCTGGGTCCTCATCCCTGACCCTGACCACTTCCAGCCTCTGAGCCCATCACCCCACATGTGGGATCCTCCACCACCCCACCCCTGCTGCTCCCATCCCCTATGGCCCCAGAAGCCCAGTTGCCTTCCAGCTCTGGACCCCAAGGGGCTCCCCACTCCCGCTGTGCAGCAGGCGTCACCAGCTGCACTCTCCAGACATGGGAGCAGCTTCAGAGAGGTGGTGTAGCTTGCCCAAGCTCACACGGCCCAGGGGGAAAGTTAGGATCTGGCTGCAGGTCTTCCTGGCTCTGCTCATCTCCCTTTCTTTCCAGCTCTGGGAAGATGGGACGCAGGGGCAGAACAGTTGCCCAGTGTTTGCCTGGAGAGGGCTCTAAGGGGAAGGGGACCCTAAGGCTCTGAGCAGGGCTGGGCATTCAGGTCAGGTGAGAATGCCCAGCAGCCTGGGGACAACAAGCAAGGCCATGTCTTAGGATGCCCGCTCTTCTGAGCCCTGGCCTCCATGTCCTTCTAGCTGCTCAGTACCTGTCAGGCATCTGGTGCAGACCAGCCCCTGCTGAGCCCTGAGATACAGAGAGACAGCTGTGTCCCTGGCCTCTGGGGGACACCCATGAAGGCCTGAGCCAGAATGGGACCAGCTGACCGGCAGCCCCCAGTCAAGCCTGTGACAACTTTTTACTCCAACTACTCATTTTTCCAAACCAAGGAATAGAATGGTCAGGAGCAAGCACAGAGCATACACTTCAGTCTGAGCCAGGCCACTGCCGAGCGAGCTCGAGGGTCACCTTGGCACCAGCCACTAGACTGTCCTCATTTCCCTCTGTGAGGCTGCTTCCGCCCCATGCAGCCACTCATGATTTGTGCACATGCATGTGTGCATGGGAGAGGGCAGCCCTGACGGTGGGCACGCACAATAGTCACTTCCTCACGGGGCCTTCACTCTGAGCAAGCGCCTAGTCCCACTTCTTCCTCTGAGATCTTGCAGGGCTGCAAGACCCTTGCAGACTGTCACCTCTACCTCTTCCCTGTGTGACAGGCAGGGAAGCCCAGGTTCTGGCAGGGCAAGGGATTTGTTCCGGGTCTCTCAGCCCCAGAACCTAGGATGTCAGACAGCCCGACCCACAGTGCGTACCCTGCCCAAGGGCCAGCTGCCTCCCCCAGGGTCAGCACGACTTTGAAAATAAGCCACAGTCCTGGTGCCAAACACCAGATGCCAAAGGGGATGATGCTGGAGAGACCCGGTATAAAACAGAGAGGACGTGGAGACTCTAGGGGAGGAATCCAGGGGAGGGGAGTACTGGGAAGTCCACCGTGGTTAAAGCCCCCGGGAGAGGCAAAAACCTTGAACTTGACCACCAGATTGATCAGGCTTCCTCTGCTGGGCTCCTCTACCCTTGGGTGTTGACATTTCACTTGCCAGAACTGTAAGGCCTCCCTCTGTCCCCTCCTTCCCCGAGCTGCTATCCAGGACTGGCTCCTTGAGGACCAACGGGACATGCTTGCTTCTGCCACCTCAGTTGAGGGCAAGGCCATGGCTCTGATGATCTCAGATGTCCCCTTCCAAATGCTTGGTTGTGGTAGCATAGGTGCTTGGCACTAGGGCAGAGTTGGTTCCAGATGAGAAAACCTGGCTGCATTTTGGGATGGGGTGTGGGGCATTGGGCAGCACGGCCACCCTCTGGGTACCATTTCCCCACCCAGCACTGGGGCAGCTGCTTCTACCCAGCAGGCAGCAGTGAGTTTATCCAAGGGGCTCTGTGTGCCCAGGTCCAGAGAGCTGGCGGGTGAGACAGTAATGAGGGGTGGGGACTTCCGTGAGCACTCCGGGCCAGTCCCAGTGGCTGTGCATCAGGGTGGGGGCCCAGGGTTGCAGGTGCCACTCAGTTATCAAGGAAAGCCGGAAAGTAGATTTTATGGGAACTCTCAATTTTAACATGCTGGCAGCTAATAAAGAAAATTAAGTCCTTGGAGGGCCACGGATGCAACCTGAGTGGGTTCTAGTGAGAAGCAGGGCAGGGAATTGGTTAAGAGCAAGGGCCTGATGGTGGCCAGGCTGCCGACCCTCTGTGCCTTACTTTGGTCCTCTGTCAGGGGAGCTGATTACTGGAATAGTGCTGCCTTGCAGGGTGCTCCTGAGGCTCACAGGAAGCATCTATTGCATATAAAGTGCTGAGAACCAGGCCTGGCTCGGGGTAGGCGCCTGCGGGTATGGGTTACTGTGGCTTCTTGATGCACACTTCTATCCCTGACTCCAAGTCCACTCACCCGCCCCCTGTGCCAAGGCAGGTAGATGGTAGCAGACAGTGGAACGGTCCAGTTTCCTAAGGGTTCTAGAGCCATTTGCCTGGGTCACCAAGCAGAGCTCTGGTCACCACCAGAGCTGGATGCTAGGTGCACTGTTGCTCACCTCTGGAAAGATCCCAGCCCCTGCTCGCTCTAAGACCTTGCTCCACAGCAGCCCAGCACCCGATCCATGAACAGTGCTGCCAGCCAAGAAGTTCGTTGAGTTTTGCTTCTGTAACTTAGCCTGAATCTCTCAATGTTCTCTTTGGGACATGGGAGAGTAGCTGGGCTAGGCAATTAAGTCAAAGTCCAAAGGCTCAAGGCCCAAGGCTGTGAGCCAGGGAAGTTGGTTGCCAGGCAGCCCCAGTTGCTTAGGGTTTTTCACTGGGCCAGGGAAGCAGGCTGGGCCAGGCAGCCCATCTCTGTTGGTTGTCCCTTCCCACTGACCTAGCAAAGAGCTCCTTCCTCAGCACATCCATGGGGAAGCTGGCAGCCCTGAACAAAGACCAGCTGAGCAGGCTGGGCACACTTCCCAGGGTGGTGTTGGCCTCTGCCAGCGCCTGATCACCTTTCCAGGATGAGCCTGGTCTGGATGGTAAACAAGCAGGTCCTCTCTCTAGGGGATGCCAGCCCAGCCCCTGGCCATGCCCAGGGAGAGCTGTGGCCAGGTTTGGCTCTGCAGAGGACAGCTGAGCCCACGGACCAGTCCCCAAAACCCTATCCCCTGCCACAGCCTCAATGCTCAGCCATGGTTCTAAGGAAACCTAGGCTCTCAGAGCAAAACCGGGTCTTGATGCCCTGGCGAGGCTGCCAAGGAGGGGACACGAGTCAGGCAGGGAGATCTGGCTGAGCCTCCTAGGCAGGCAGAATTAGTGAGCACCTGGAGAACCGCACTGAATGTTGCAAAGTGATAGCTGGAAGAGACCCAATGACCAGAAAAAAAGCACTCTGCAACCAGCACCTCAGATATTGCCCTCAGTGAGGTTTTTGATGAGGTTTAGCAGTACTGAAGCACCAGAGTTACAGAATGTTTTTACTTTCAATATTCCACATTCAAATGTGGTCTTGCTAAGACCTGCAGGGAACCTGCTGTAATGTGGAGTGGAACTCGCTTTGTAATTAGCCCAGCAACTGTTCCTGTACTGATGGGGACTTCTGAAGTGCTCAAAAACTGTTTGCCATGTGAATAAATCCCCTGCAAGTTGTTTATACCACCGGGTTGTTTCACCATACTATGAGATAAAAATGGCCTTTCTTCCCGAATAAAGTGCAAAAGCAACATTTAGACCCTGGCCCACCCTATCCCAAAAGCTCTCTGGGGTGAAGCTGACATAGTGACAAGGTACCCCAGCTATCTTTTGGCCCAGGGAAAGGCTCAAATTGGGAAGGAAATGCATCTACGCTGGTTGTGGTTCCAAAAGCTCTTCTGTTCCCAGCTAAAGTCATAGAGTCAGCAGATGGACTGAAATAAATCCAACCCCCCACACTGCTGGGACCAGGAAGTGTTACAACCTTTTCTGAGGGCAATTTAGCAATAGCCTAAAAGAGAATCCACACCGTGCTCTCTGGCCCGGCACTTTGAGCGCTAGGGATTTATGCCCAGAAGCGTTTGCCTGAGTGGGCAAGGATGCCGTGTAAGGAGTTCACTGCTCTCTCCTCTGTAATGTGGGGAAGGAAGCCGGGAGGGGATGCTTTGCTCGGTCGGGCTGAGCATTGTGTGGTGAAGCCCTGTGCAGAGTGAAGTGGCTCTGTGCCTACACAGAGGGACGTCCACACTCTGCCCATTCAGTGGGAACCGCAGTTGCTAGATGGTCCCACATCTGCCAGAATGCAGGGGTTGGGTCTGGATGGATACGAGACAGGCTGTGGGCATCTGTGGTGTCCCGAAGTGGGCCCAGAGGGGCCAAAGGAGGAGATTTTTGAATATTTTTTTCAGCTTGTACTTTTTTGTAACTTAAACTTAAAAATGTCACCAGGCCGGAGAATGCAAACTTGTAATCTCAGCACTGAGCAGGTGGGGCAGCAGGATCGCTGAGAATTCAAGGCCAGCCTGGGTGATACAGTGAATTCAAGGCTAGTCTGAACCACACAGCGAGACGCTATCTCAACATGACAAAAATTAAAAATGTCAAACAAATAATGAACATTTTTCTAGTTTGCTGTTCCAAATGTTTTTCCTCCGTGACTTCTGTGGTTTCTAGGGGCCAAGATCTACAGGTCTCTCATGGGGCTGGTCGGGACTCTTTATTTTTTAACTGAGGTAAAAAGATATGAATGGATGACATAAATGTCCACTGAACCATGTCTAAGTGAGTGTGCCATTCAGTGGCGTGCAATGGAATCATCTTCTCAATGCTGTACAACCATCAACCGTGGTGCTACCTATTTCTAAGACATTTTCATCCTTTCACCTTGAACTCTGTGGCCTAGTTTCTGGGAAGAGCCTGCTTCCTTTTTCGGGGACAACGTGTGGCCCCAGGTTGTCCAGTTGTTGCTTGGGTAGGGAGTGAGGAGCCTGGGCTCCCCTCCCTGGGGCTGCCGCAGCTGTCAGTCACGGGTCTGGCTTCTCTGTGCTCCCCAGACCTTTTGTGCCGCTGCAGGCCCCTGAGGGACTGGCGGTGGGTCCCGCAGAGAAGGTGGATTTCCTGCTGCCCGGCCTCCCACTCTGGGCCTCACTTACCCCCGCTGCAGCAGGAGCAGCAGGAAGGGGATCTCATCTTGGCTGCTTCTCTGCTCTTACAGACATCACAGCTGCGGCCCTGGCCACAGGTGCCTGCATCGTGGGAATCCTCTGCCTACCTCTCATCCTGCTCCTGGTCTACAAGCAGAGGCAAGTGGCCTCGCACCGCCGTGAGTATCTGCGAGCCGTGTGTGTGTGTGTGTGTGTGTGTGTGTGTGTGTGTGTGTGTCTCTCCCATTGCCCGGTCTCT